TTTAATATTAATTTCAAATTTAAGTAAAAATTTATAAAAAATTATAGGTGGTTAAAATTTATAAATAATAAATTAGAAAGGCTAAAATTAGATAAATTCATTAATAAATTATTGTTTTATTTTAAAAATATTAAATATAATTAAATTTTTCAGGAAAATTTGTCTAGAATACAGTTTAAGGAATAATATATATTTTTCATATTTTCATTTATATCTTTATTTTTATGTTTTTTTTTTTTTTTTTAAACTTTGGCTAATCGTGCTAGTGACCTATGTTTATTAAAGCTTTGTCGCTACCGATGACAATATAGCAATAAATTTGTAGCCTGATATTATATGGCTACTTCAATATGACTAAGTACATAACTAAGTCATCTGAGTGCCTACATGTAATTAGCCACACTAATGAGGTAGTGTAACAACTAATCCAATAACTAAAATAACCTTCATAGCCTACTATCCATCTAGAGTCTCATCTAGAAAAAAAAACAAAATACTAACTAAAAAAAACACAAAGGTATAGAGGATATGGAAAAAAAAAAAACCAAATAAAAGAAAAAAAAAGGGGGAAAGAGAAATAGCTAAAAAAGAAAATGAGAAGCAACTCGCTATGGACAGTCACAATTATAAGCCTGTGTCGGGCTTGATAAAAATTATATACTACTATCTAAACTAGTCTCTACTCTAAATTTATATAATTAATATGCTTAAGTATAAAACCACATGAGAAAAAAAAGTACTTCTTCGATGTAGGCACCATAGAGAGATCAGAAATCCATACTGTAGTCACGAGATCTTATTTACTTGGTTGTCACATTCGAGGTATGTAATTTATATATTCGGCCCATATGTATCCACGTGTTTGTTATAGCAGAATAGTTGTAAACAAGGCTGACTGTTTTGGTAAATATTATGTCAATCTTTTAGAGAAGTAAACTAAATCACCCACTTTTTACAAATTTTTTTCTGAAAAAGAAGTGAGAGGCCAATGAAAGTATGTGAGGTTCTTCTGTAAGTTTTACAGTTGTATAGTTGGTTCTACAAGATTTTACTATCTCAGCGAGGACCTTTCCACTACTTGCTCCTAGAATAAACCTTCTAGTTTGGATGCTGAATATTCCAAAGAGTCTATTCAAAAGAAAGAAAAACTTAATCCCAAGAAAAACCACTAAAGATACATCTGCTTCTTGGTATTTCATGTTCTTTAAAGCTTCGTTGACAGCAACCTGTTCAGAGGTAAGTTCAGTTTCCAGAATACTCTTCTGGTTTGGATGCCAAATATCTTGAGGAGTCCACTGAGTCATAAAAAAGCTTGACCTCAAGAAAAACCACCTATTACGCCTGCTTCTCGGTATATCATATTTACAGGCTTTGTTGACAACTGTTTACTCAAAGACAGGACTAAAATAGCAAATATCTTGAGACTTCCTATAACGTTTTCCTGTAGTTCAGTTTTTTGTTGCGTTGTTCAGAGGATCGTTAGAGAGAGTTCTTTATTTTTATATTTATTTTCACTCAGACTATTTTTATTATTATTAATACTATTATTTCTATCACTATTATTACTATTGTTATCACTATTCTTGCTATTATTATTATTATCATTATTATTATTGTTATTACTATTGCTACTATCATTATTATCATCATTATTCTTATTACTATCTAATATTAAATCAATAATACTTTCATTATTACTTGTACTATCTATATTAATATATAGTGCTTCTACAAACTAGACTTAAACCAAACTTTAGTCAAGTTTAAGTCTGGTTTGATTTTTGAACCAGATTCAAACTTTTATATTCAAC